AAGAGCCACCGTGTCTGGCCTAACTATTCCTAATGCCTGGAAGTTCTTTCCCCAGATACCTGCATGCCTTGCCCCTTTATCATTCAGATTTCTGCTCAAATGTTGCCTTGTCAGTGAGGCCTGCTGCCTGATCACTGATTTTTTTTTTTTGACAAGGTCTAGCTCTGTCACCCCAGCTGAAGAGCAGTGATGAAAATATGGCTCACTGTGGCATCAAACTCCTGGGCTCAATCGATCCTCCCACATCAGTTTCCTGAGTAGGTGGGACCACAGGCACGCACCACCACTTCTGGCTAATTTTTTAAAAAAATTTTTGTAGAGATGGGGTTTTGCCATGTTGCCCAGGCTGGTCTTGTCCTGGGCTCAAGAGATCCTTCTGCCTTGGCCTCCCAAAGTGTTGGAATTGCAGGTGTGAGACACCATGCCCCGCCTCTGATCACTCAATACAAGAGTCACTTCCCTGGCTTCAGTTACTTGCTATCCCTTTACCCTTCTTGCCACATACTACCCATCTGAACATTAAAAGACAAGCAGATTTGGTATAAATGTTCTATTCTTTCAACTAAATTCCAGTGCTATAAGGACAGTAAAACAATGATATACTGGGGAAAATGTAGCAATATACATTTGTTTAAAAGACAGATTGAATAAACAAAAACTATAAAAAAATCATATAAATACAATCTGAAATTCCAAGAAGTCCTGGAATACAGAAATGCCCTCCTCCTTCATTATTACACGGGAAGCACTGGTTTAATTGTCTTCACAGCATTACGTCTACCTGACATTGTATAGCTATAGGGTTCACTCCTGTATCTCCAGAGCTTGGTGTAAGTTTGGTGCTCAATACACAATAAGACACTAATAAGCATCAAGTGAATCCTTGGAGGCCACAACTACAGGCTAGGGGTGGGGGTTAGGTGGGCAGGTGGAATTGATGGGTTTGGGGAATAGGGAGGTGTGGAGAGAAGTGCAGCAACATGAGCCTGGGTGCCTGTCCTCCAGAAGCTTCCCATCTTGTGCTGCTGGTTGGTCATTCTACATGGCTTTCCATCAAAGCCTACCATGTCACAGATAATTCTGAGTAGCAGCTGCATTTGTTGAGTGCATGGGAACCTTAGTTAGCAGGAGGCAAAGTCCGATTTTTATTGTTAGGGGCTAAATCTGAAGGACTCTTTAGTGAGGAGTACTAACAGTTTAGAACAGTTTAGATATATGCTGCCTAATATGATAGCCACTAGCCACATGCGATTATTGACTACTTGAAATATGACAGTCTGAGGCCAGGCACAGTGGCTCACATATGTAATCCCAGCACTTTGGAAGGCCGAGGTGGGCAGATTGCTTGAGGCTAGGAGTTTGAGACCAGCCTCAACATGGCAAAACCCCATCTCCACTAAAAATACGAAAATTAGCTGGGCTTGGTGGTGCATTCCTATAATCCCAGCTACGTGGGAGGCTGAGGCATGAGAATTGCTTGAACCAGGAAACAGAGGTTGCAGTGAGCCGAGATAACACCACTGTACTCTAGCCTGGGTGATAGAGTGAGACTCTGTCTCAAAAAAAAAAAAAGAAATGTGACAGTCTGAATTTGAAATGTGCCATACATATAAAACACATAACGGGTTTCAATTTTGAACACATCACAAAGAATGTAAATTTTCTCAACTTCTAAATATTGATTATGTGTTGAAATAACATTGTGAATATACTGAATACTTTGAATATGTAGTTAACATTTTGAATATAATAATATATTATTAAATTGATGTCACCTGTTTCTTTTTGCTGTTTTAGATGCAGCTTTAGAAAATTTAAAATTACATATGTTTCTCTGAACAGTTTACAGCTATGTTCAGGCAAAAAAAAAAAAAAGAAAAAAAATACATATATGGCTCATATACATGGCTCATATTTTACTTTTATTGGATCATCCTATATTTTCCCTTTCCAAAGCCCACAGGAATAATGTCTGGAACCCAGAATGATCTTTGTAAATACTGGGTGAATACATTAAGTTGGGCTGCCTGAGTAGGGTCTAAAGACTAAGAATTGGCAAACTCCAATTTCTCCAAGCAAAGCATTTGGTCATTTAGTCAAAAATCGGAGTATCTGATAGGGCTTAGCAGTGGAAAAGTGGTGGAAATGTGTGAAGCTGTTGATCAGCTTGAGGCGGCTGTTTGTTCCCAGCTGTATTTACACTCTGCTTCAAAAATTAAACACCATTTCAGTTGGGCCAACTCAAATATTTATTTCTTTGAAAACATCATCTCCAGAGTGTACGCATTTGTTTCACAGTCTTTTTTAGGGAGGCAGATTCACATGATTGTTCAAATACTTCTGCTTACACAACACAGAACTTTGGAACTGGACCAACTCATTGGCTTTCTGAGGTGCAGCCTCCCATTTAGAAGCTGCTTCCAGCTGGGTGTGGTGGCTCACGCCTGTAATCCCGCACTTTGGGAGGCTGAGGTGGGCAGATCATGAGGTCAGAAGTTTAAGACCAGCCTGGCCAACATGGTGAAACACTGTCTCTACTAAAAATACAAAATTAGCCGAGTGTGGTGGTACAAGCCTGTAATCCCAGCTACTTGGAAGGCTGAGGCAGGAGAATCACTTGAACCTAGGAGGCAGAGGTTGCAGTGAGCTGGGATCGTGCCACTGTACTCTAGCCTGGGACAGGGCTAGACTCCTTCTCAAAAAAAAAAAAAAAAAGCTGCTTCCTCAATATATTGGGAAGTGAAGACAGCAAAGGGGTTAAAGGGCCTAATACACTGCATGATAGGCTTGTATTCTTTAAAATGGTTCTTTAAAAAATTGCCTTGATCTCTGATTTTCTGCAACATGCAAGTTATTCCTTCCCTTCTACCACAAAATGATGCCTTGGCATAGAGTCATCAGCAATCCTGTCATGCCAGGCCATTTAAGTGGTTTTGAAGCCACTTGTAAACAATTCTAATACTCCATTCCTGGGGCAGTAGAAAAAAGAATTAAATTCAAGAGGGTAGCCTTGAAAAAGAAAAAGAAAAAAATACAACAATTTGCCTGAGAAAATATTAAGAGTTTTTAGGCCAGGCACGGTGACTCATGCCTGTAATCCCAGCACTTTGGGAGGCTGAGGCAGGTGGATCACCTGAGGTCAGGAGTTCGAGGCCAGCTTGGCCAACACAGTGAGACCCCGTCTCTATTAAAAATGCAAAAATTAGCCGGGTGTGATGGCAGATGCCTGTAATCCCAGCTACTCAGGTGGCTAAGGTGGAAGAATCGCTTGAACCTGGGAGGCAGAGGTTGCAGTGAGTGGAGATCACACCACTGCACTCCAGCCTGAGAAACAAGAGTAAAACTCCATCTCAAAAAAAAAAAAAAGAATTTTTGATTTCTAAACATAGAATGACTTTTAAGAGAAAACACTGAATTATTTAGTAAGAAGCATCCATAAAATCATGTACTATGAAATGTTCTCATGGACCAGATAAAATGGTTTATCTCAATTTTCTTCTAAAAAGTGTTGAGGTACAGTTGGTGGTACGCTGAGCTGCACCACTGCTTGTTGGGTTAGTGCTGATACAGACAGAATAAATGCCTTGTCCAGACAGTGGGATTAATATGGAGGATGGTCAATGGTCCTTCCCAGTCGAAATATTTAGTTTTTCCAGGTTAAAAAGAATTGTTCAAAAACTACAGAATAAACTACTTAAGATCAGCCACGGAAATTGTTTCTGTGGCTTGGAGAAAAATTTGGAAAGAAAGGTAATGTTTTTTGGTAGTACTTTAATGGCTTATAAGTAAAGGTATTTAGAGTTCTTATAATAATAATAATAAAGTTTCTTGGAAAACAAAGAAGTGATGGCAAAGGAAAGATTCTGCAGAACTTTTTTTTTTTTTTGAGACAAAGTCTTACTCTGTTGCCCAGACTGGAGTGCAGTGGCACAATCTCTGCTCACCATGACCTCCGCTTCCTGGGTCCAAGCTATTCTCCTACCTCAGCCTCCCAAGTAGCTAGGACCACAGGTGTGTGCCACCATGCTCGGCTAATGTTTTGTATTTTTAGTAGACGTGGGGTTTCAGTGTTAGCCAGGATGGTCTCAATCTCCTGACCTCGTGATCCACCCACCTCAGCCTCCCAAAGTGCTGGAATTACGGATGTGAGCCACCGCGTCTGGCCCCCAGAAATTTTTTTCTCTCTCAACATGTGGCCCAAGATGAGAACTTTTTGCTTTGCTGTAAATGCATGTTATGTACCTAATAGCCACAATGAGAAGTGATATTCTTGATAAATCTTTTAGATTTTAAATCTCAGACATGATCTACATAGCAATCCTAAAATGTCTAAAGTGTTCTCCTTTTAAGATTCAAAAAACAAAAACAAGAAGCAGCTTAATATAGGATTTTTAAGAGCCAAGGGCACCCTCTCAGTGGATAATAAATCCCAACCTGGGTCCATGGTGGCTGCTAGTATAACTAAAGCACAGTTGGGATGAAATCCTTTATTAAGAACACGTAGGCTGGGTGTGGTGGCTCATGCCTGTAGTCTCAGCTCTTAGGGAGGCTAAGGGAGCACTTAGGGAGGCCAGTTAGAGAGGATCACTTGAGTCCAGGAGTTCAGTACCAATCTGGGCAACATAGGGAGACCCCTTCTCTACAAAAAATGGAAAGGATTGGCCAGGCCTGGTGGCATGCAGCTGTGTTCCCAGCTCCTCAGAGTGACTGAGGTGAGAGGTGGGAGGATCATTGGGCTTGGGAGGTGCAGGTTTCAGTGAGCTGTGATTGCAACAGACACCCTGTCTCAAAAAGACAAAAGCAGGTAATTTCAGTGCATTATTACTTTTTTTCCTTCTTACCCCTATACTAATGAGGAAATTATTTATTACTTTAACACACTTATTACATTTGCCTGTTAAGAGGGTCATCTCAGCAACCAATATATAAAAGGAAACAACATTTAGTGATGTAAAGTCACGTTACTGATCCACCACTCCCAGAAAACAAGAGCATCTTACCTGCAGCAAAGGCATCAGCTGCAAACCCAATGCTTGCTCATACAGCAAGTTCAGTTCTGCACAACTGGAGAAGGAGAGTTTGGAGGTGTAGAGGTAATAATGCACGTGCCTAAATGTGGAACCATCTCTGTCGATAAATAGCCTCTGGCTTTCTGAAGAGGTCAAGGCTGAAGCCTCTTTCCACAGTAGGGAGTCTGGAAACTGAGAGAGTTTGCTTCTGGGAACTGAGAAATGCCAGCCCCCTACGTTAAAGTGAAATAGGTCCTCTGCTGATTCATGAGACATGCTAGACTCCTCCTAAAGGGGAAATGAAAAAGAGAGCTATGCAAGAAAAAGAAATAAAAAAGCATCCAGATTGAAAAGGTAGAAATAAACTATCTCTCTCTGTTTGCTGATGACATGATCTTATATATTAAAAAATCCTAAAGAATTCACCAGAAAACTATTAGAAATGAGTCCAGGCCAGGAATGGTGGTTCACACTTATAATCCAAGCACTTTGGGAGTCTGAGGTGGGAAGATGGCTTAAGACCAGGAGTTTGAGTTTGCAGTGAGCTATGATTGTGCCACTGTCCTCTGGCCTGACAGATCAAGACCCTGTCTCAAAAGAAAAGCAAAAACACCAAAGAAATGAACCCAACAAGGTTGAAAGATGCAGAGCAATATTTTAAAATATTGTATTTTTATATTTTAGCAGTGAACAATCTGAAAGTGAAATTAAGAAAACAATTCAATTCCACTTACAATAGCATCAAAAATAGCATACTTAGGAATAAATTCAACAAAAGAATGAAATAATGTACACTGAAAACTTTGAAACATTGTTGCAAATTTAAAAGACCTAAATAAATGAAAAAAATATCCATCTTCATGGACTGGAAGATTTAATATCATTAAGATGGCAATAGTCTCCCAATTGATTTACAAATTTGACACAATCTCTGTGAAAATCCTGACTTTTTGCAAAAATTCATATGAAAATACAAGGGACTCAGAAATAGCTAAAACAGTCTTGAAAAAAGGAGAACAATGTTTAAGAAGTCACATTTCCCACATTTTTTTAAAAGGCAGACTGCCACATGCAGCGCCTCATTTGGATGTGTCTGTTATCTTGGAAGTTTGACTACTCTACATTCTCCTACAACGGACCTTGAGAGCTCGTTTGGAGTTTCTAGCTAGGAAGAGCAGCTACTCATATACCCTTGAGTGAAGACTGGTCCTGCTATATCAGGATGGTTGTCCTCTTTGAGCACTCAGCTTCAGGAGGGAGGGATGCATATTGAGCAATGTGGGAAGAAGGGGATACCTGCCTAGCCAGCCAGATCAGCCAAATCAACCCTGGCAATCAATGGAGTGACAGATATCACAGCCAGATTGCCCTCACATCACCCATTTTTAAAACTTATTGCAAAGGTAGAACAATCAAGACAGTAGGCTACTGGCATAAGGATAAATATAAAGATAAGTGGAATAAAATTGAGAGTACAGAATAAAACCCTTACATTTATGATCAATTGAATTTTGATAAGGGATCCAAGATGATTCAATGGATAAAGAATAGTCCTTATAAAAAATGGTGCTGAGAAACCTGCCCATTAATATGCATAAAAGATAATAATAACAATAATAATAAAATTGGACCCCTACCTCACCCCATACACAGAAATTAGCTTCAAGTGAATCACAGAGCTAAAACTATAGAATCTTTAGAAGAAACTAGAAAATCTTCATGATCTTGTAGTAGGCAAAACTTTCTTAGATGCGACACTAAAAGCAAAAGTGACCAAAAAACTAGATACATGTAACTTCATCAAAATTTAAAAATCTTTGTGCTTTAGAGGGCATTATCAAGAAGGTGAAAAGATAACCCACAGAATGGAACAAAATATTTGCAAACCAGTTTTCTGATAAAGAACTTACTTCTAGAATATATAAAGAAATCTTAAACTCAATAAGAAAAAGACAAATAACCAAATTTTAAAATTGGCAAAGCATCTAAGTAGACATTTCTTCAAAGAATATATAGAAATGACCAATAGCACAAAAAAAGGATGCTCAACATCCATAGTCATCAGAGAAATGCAAATCAAAACTCACAATTAATGAGTTTTGATGCGCATTAGTATGGCTAGAATGAAAACAATAGATAGTAGCAAGTGTCGACAAAGAAACTGGAACACCCATGCATTACTGGTGGAGATGTAAAATGGTGCAGGTGCTTTGAAAAACAGTTTGATGGGTCCTGAAAATGTTAAGCATGGAGTTATTCTACTATGAGCCAGTAATTCCACTCCTAGGTGTATACTTAAGAGAAATAAAGACATGTGTCCCCACCAAAATTTCTAGACTAATGTTCATAGAACATAATAGCCGAAGGCGGAAATAAACCTAAAGTTCATCAACTGACAGATGATTAAACAAAATGTAGTATATCCATATTCTGGGATATTGTTTGTCAATAAGAAGGAATGGGATGAACATGGTAGCTTGAGTTTATAATCCAAGCACTTTGGGAGGCTGAGGCAGGAGATTCGCTTGAGCCCAGGAATTTGAGGCTGCAGTGAGCTATGATCATACCATTGCACTTCAGCCTGGATAACAAAGTGAGGCATGTCTCTCAAAAAAATAAAAAATAGGCTGGGCGTGGTGGCTCACACCTGTAATCCCAGCACTTTGGGAGGCCGAGGTGGACAGATCATGAGGTCAGGAGTTCGAGACCAGCCTGGTCAACATAGTGAAACCCCAGCTCTACTAAAAATACAAAAATTAGCTGGTCATGGTGGCAGGTGCCTGTAGTCCCAGCTAGTCAGGAGGCTGAGGCAGGAGAATTGCTTGAACCTGGGAGGCGGAAGTTGTGGTGAGTGGAGAGTATGCCATTTCACTCCAGCCTGGGCAATAAGAGCAAAACTCCATCTCAAAGGAAAAATAAAAATAAACAATAAAAAGGAATGAAATACGGACACATGATAACAACATGGATGAACCTTAAAACATGATGCCAAAGAAAAGAAGCCAAACACAAAAAAATCACATAGGATTCCATCCATATGCAATGTGTGGACAAAGCAAATTTCTAGAGATAGAAAATAGATTAGTGGTTGCCTAGGGCTGGAGAGGCTATGGGGAGACAGGGTGCGACTACTAATGGGTATGAGATTTCTTTTGGAGATGGTGAAAATGTTCTAAAATTGATTGTGGTAATAGTTGCACAACTCTGAACATGCTAAAACCTACTGAATTATACACATTAAAATGTGTAAATTGTAAGGTATGTGAATTATATCTTAACAAATCTGTAACAAAAATAGATTAGGTACTGTTCATTCCATGGAGCACATGCAGAACTCTCTTGGGATCTTACTTGCAGAGACATTACATTATTGGGTGATGAATGCTACAGATAACTTTTCATATACACAAAGGCAGCAAAGATCATTAAGCTTCCTCAGCTCATTGTTAAAAGTTTAAGGTCATCTGTTCGTCTGCTGGACAAGAGGTTGTTAGAAAAATAAAATTTAAGGTCATCTATTTATAAGTGAATTGTCTACTTTGCTTCAAAATGACCTAGTTTACTAATATAATGGAAAAGTAGAGAGCCATCAAACATACAAACTCCATCTCAAAATTTAAAATATAAAGGGCAATACCTTGTAAAAGCATTTCTTAAAGGATAGTAAATAGCATATAAAATTTTACCTAAGAACCATAAAACAATATCAAATTCTAATAAAAATTATGTATGATTAGATTCAATGTACGATGTCTGTAACTTACTTTGAAATAAATAAAAAAATAAGAGATTGATGAACAGATAGAAGGGTTGGTAGATGGACATGTGATAAAACAAATATAAGCAAAATGTTGATTGTAAAATGTAGGTGGTGGATATGTGGTGCTCACTGTACAATTCTTTCAGTATTTCTGAATGTTTATAAAATTGCATGAAGACTTTCATGCAGGAAAAGAGTGTTAAAGTAAAAGGTGATTACTTAAGAGAGGAAAAGCTCCCTGTTCCAAAAAGAACGTGCATTTCCTATTCTGACAGCTAAGGAAGGAAAATAAATGCATGCAAGAAAGAATGGGATGGGGTCCATCTCTCCCACAGCAAGCCTAGTCTAAATATTCAGACATAAAGAAGAGCAATTACATATGCCACATTTGAGACTAGAAGACTTAAAGTATTAAGAGAAAGATGACAAATTGTGAAATGATTACATAACTGACAGAAGCAGAGCCAGAAAAATCAATCTAATGAGCTAATCTAGGATTCTAAGTCCAAGCCCTACTAAAAGCCCTTCTAAAAGTTCATGTTCAGGCTAAGGCTGAATGTGACAAACAAAATGACTAAGGGTCCCACCTAGACTAGAAAGCATAAACACACAAGAACTCTTGATTCTGCTTTCTGTTCTTAAAGGTGGCTGAGAGCTCAGTGGGGGTGCTCAGAGTGTGCAGATGTTGGATACCAAAGAAAACCTACTTCTCGAAGGTAAGCCCCAGTTCTGGTCTCAGTTCCTCTTTTCTTGTTAAAGATGGGGTGTGACAAGAGGGTCCTGGATCAAGAGTTCACACCCCCTTCTTACACATGTCCCATCTTAAGACTGCTGGAATGAGGGTAAGGATTAGGGATGTGACTGTTCTTTCCCAAAGAATGCTCAGGGGTTGGTTAGTGCATAGCTATCCCAGCCTGGGGACAGTCCTTAGTTACAGGCAAGTTTAGGGGGACCTGTGGTGCTTAAAAGACAAAAGGCTTCTTGCCAAACTGACTTCAGGAAACAGGGTAGTCCTAAGGCAGTCATCCCCACCCTGTTCCAAAGAGCTTCTCTTTTTCCCACGCCACGCTGATCCCTTTCTCCCAAAGAAGCTCTGTCCAAGTCAATTTCTTTTCTTTTCTTTTTTCCTTTTTTTCTTTTTTGGCTCTGTTGTTCAGGTCGCCCAGGCTAGAGTGCAGCTATGTGATCTTGGCTCACTGCAATCTCCACCTCCCGGGTTCAAGCAATTCTTCTGCCTCAGCCTCCCAAGCAGCTGGGACTACAGGCCGTGCCACCACGCTCAGCTAACTTCTGTATTTTTAGGAGAGACAGTTTCCCATGTTGGCCATGCTGATCTCGAATTGGGTGATCCGTCCACCTCAGCTTCCCAAAGTGCTGGGATTACAGGTGTGAGCCATTGAGTCCAACCCGTCCAAGTCAATTTCTAGAGAACCACCTCATGCTCTAAAGACAGGACCCCAACTCCTTAGAGCCAAGATTCCCAACCCTTCAGATCTGGAGCTCCCCATCATGCCTTAGAGATATGTCCTCACACTCCAGTCCTTCAGATCTGGATCCCCCCCAACACACACCCTCGCCTTGCCCCAGAATCAGCATCTCCCAGCGCTGAGATATGAAGACCTTCACCTGGTCAAAGGGGCACCCCCCTAGTTCTCAGGGAGTCCCCCACATCCTCAGAGCCAGACACTTCATCCCTCAAGACAGCGCGTTTTTCTAACTCCTCAGAGCCAGCCCCCCAAATCCTTCCCAGCTGGGGACTCCTCTCTCTCCCCGATGCCCCAGAGCAAGGTCTCGAACACCGTAGCCCTAATCATAGGCCACAACGGCGGCCCCCATTCGCCGCTTTGGTGCTTTTGGCGCCCCCGCCAGTCCGTACCATGGTCGCGGCTCCAGCTGCGGGCGGGCGGGCGCGTGACCCGGCCAATAACGGCTCCCGGGGTCGCGGCGGCGCGCGGGGGGGGGGGGCGGGGCTGTGGGCGGGGCCTGGCCCGCACCCGGCGTTCTCGCGGGCGGCGGCGGGCGAGCGGCGGCCGGGTATGGCGGAACAGTGGGAGCTGGACGAGGAAGGCATCCGCCGCCTGGGGGCGCTGACCTTGGAGCAACCGGGTAGGGTCTGGCCGGGAGGGTCCGGACCGGGAACATAGGATCAGAAGCTGTGGAAAGAAAACTGAAGTGGAAGCAGGAGAACCTGAAATAGAGGCGAGGGAACCATAGGGGAGCGGTACCTGAGGCTGAGAGAAGGTTACAGGGAGGTGGAGGTGGAGGAACTGAAGTAACGGGGGAGTCTGGGGCAGAGCCCGAGGAATTGAGAGAGAAGAGGGGAATGAGAAGTAGAGTAGGAGAAACAAGGTGAACAGGAGATCCTGCGGTAGGTGACAGAACTGCCGGGCGCGGTGGCTCACGCCTGTAATTCCAGCACCTTGGGAGGCCGAGACGGGTGGGTCACCTGAGGTCAGGAGTTCGAGACCAGCCTGGCCAACATGGTGAAACCCCCGTCTCTACTAAAAATACAAAAATTAGCCGGGGGTGGTGACACATGTCTGTAATCCCAGCTAATCAGGTGGCTGAGGCAGGAAAATCACTTGAACCCAGGAGGCGGAGGTTGCAGTGAGCCGAGATTGCACTACTGCACTCCAGCCTAGGCTACAGAGCGAGACTCCGTCTCAAAACATAAAATAAAATAAGCCTGTTAGACATCCAAGTGTAAGGTACTAAGTAGGCAGTTGGATATATGGGTCTGGATCTCAGAGGAGAGGTCAGGGTTAGAGATGTAAGTTTTGGAGGCATTAGCAATAGATGGCATTTAAAGCCACGGGAGTGAATGAACTCAGCTAAAGAGTGAATGTCGATGGAGAAGAGAAAGAAAGCTTAAGACTCAATTTTGGAATAGTTCAATGTTTAGAGGTTGAATAGAGGAAGAACGTGGTACCTTGGAATTTGAGAAGGGGTAGTGTATGGAGAGAGCAATAGTCAACTCTGCCAAATGCTATTCACAGGCTAAGCAAGTTAAATGCAGAGTGTCTGTTAGATTTAGCAACATGGAATTCACTGGTGACTTTGACAGGGGGAGTTTTGGGAGAGTAGGGAAGAGGGAAACCAGATTGGAGTGGGATGAAAAATATATGAAGGGAAGAGACAGTGAAAGTAAGAACTTTTGCTGAAATGTTTGGCTGTAAAGGAGACTACAGAAATGGATGGTAGCTGAAGCAAGCGTATGTTGTGCAGTCAAGAACAGTTACACCAGAGCAGGATATGCTAGAGCATGTTGGCAGTCTAGTGACTATTTGATAGAGAGGGGAAGATATATAATTATTTACTCATTTTGACTGTTAAAATAATGCAATTTATTCTATGGGTAATATAATAATTGTACAGTGAGAAGTAAGTCTTGGCTCCCCTGTCCCTGTCTCATAGGCCTAGTTCTGCTTCCTAAAGGCAACTACTGTTATCAGTATCTTGGATAGCTTTCCAGAAATATTCTCTACATATATAAGCATATATCACTTATTTTATAATTTTATATTGTGGCAATTTTCAAATATATACAAGAGTAGAGATAACAGAATAATGAACTCCATTACCCTACCTCAACATTTGTCATCAATTCATGGCCAAGCTTCTTTCATGTATACCTCACCTATCCTCCACCCATCCACAACCCCCTATACTATTTTGAAGCAAACCCAAGTATATGATTTCCTCTATTAATATTTCAGTGTGTATTTTATTTATTTATTATTTTTCAGATAGAGTTTTGCTCTGTCACCCAGGCTGGAGTACAGAGGCATGATCTCACCTTACTGCAACCTTTGCCTCCCCATTTCAAATGATTATCCTGCCTCAGCCTCCCAAGTAGTTGGGACTACAGGTGCCTGCCACTATGCCTGGCTAATTTTGTATTTTTAGTAGAGATGGGATTTTGCCATGTTGGCCAGGCTGGTCTTGAGCTTCTGACCTCAAGTGATCCACCCAGCTCAGCTTCCCTAAAAGCTTGGATTACAGGCGCAAGCCACAGCACCTAGCCAGTATGTATTTTTAAAAGATAAGAACACTTTTTAAAAAATCACATATGCAACCTAAAAAATTTAATAATAATTTCTTTTTGTTTTGTTTTGTTTTTGAAAAGGAGTCTGGCTCTGTTGCCCAGGTTGGAATGCAGTGGCATGATATTGGCTCACTGCAGCCTCTGCCTCTTGGGTTCAAGCAATTCTCCTTCCTCAGCTTCCCGAGTAGCTGGGATTTAAGGTGTGTGCCACCACACCTGGCTAATTTTTTTTGTATTTTTAGTAGAGACGGGGTTTCACTGTGTTGGCCAGGCTGGTTTTGAACTCCTGACCTCAAGTAATCCACCTGACTCAGCCTCCCAGAGTGGACAGTAATTTCTTGATATCATGAACTATCCAACTAGTGTTCTTATTTCTCCAATTGTCCTATAATTTTTTAAAATTAGAATCCATATATGGTCCATATATTGCAATTGGTTGATATATGTCTTAAATCTTATTTGATCTGTAGGCTCTCCCTTTTTTCTCTCGAATTTTCAATTGTTTTTGAAGAAAGAGTTTACCATAACCTGAATTTTGCTTATTGCATTCCTAAAATTTTCCCATGTTCCCTGTACTTCCTATGAATTGGTAGTTAGATGAGGCTTAATCAGATTGGGTTGGATTTTTTTTTTTTTTGCAAGATGATTTTGTAGGTAATGGTGTATGTTTATATTAGGAAGTATATAGTGCCTAGTGTTCTTTTTGTGATATCAGCCACTGAATATGATTATGTAAGTTAATTCATTAGGAATTACAAAATGGTAATTGTCTATTTCTTTAATTCTTCTTCATTAGCTGTAATATTTATATAAAGAGAAATTTCCTCACATCAACTGTTTGCTTATCCTGAGGTACAGTGTGTGTAGAAAAGGCAGCATAAAACTTGATTTTTTTCACCTGATGTTCCAGCTTTCAGAATAATGGGTTATTTTCTTAGCATTCTCCAAAGGTGACCAGTGAGGACTGTTTTGCTTTCTCACTATCATTATAAACTCATCGATTTAAATATATGTCTTAGAGCTGGGCACAGTGGCTCACACCTGCAATCCTAGTCACTTTGGGAGGCCAACATGAGCGGATCACCCGAGATCAGGAGTTCAAGACCAGCCTGGCCAACATGGCGAAACCTCATTTCTACTAAAAATACAAAAAAAAATTAGCCAGGCATGGTGATGGGTACCAGTAATCCCAGCTACTCAGGAGGCTGAGGCAGGAGAATCACTTGAGCCAAGGAAGCAGAGGTTGCAGTGAGCCGAGATCGCACCACTGCACTCGATGCTGGATGAAAGAGTGAGACTCAGTCTCACAAAATAAATAAGTAAACAATTAATATATATATATATGTCTTAGTCTCTTTTCTCTTGTCATAACAGAATGCCTGGGTAATTTATAAGAACAGAAGTTGATTTGGCTCATGGTTCTGGAGGCTAGGAAGTCCAAGAGTATGGTACCAGCATCCTGGTGAGGGTCATTCATGGTGGAAGGGCAGAAGGTGCATGCATGAGATGAGAGGGAGAGAGAGAGAGAGGAACAGGGAGAGGGAAAGGGGGGGGGGAGAGAGGGAGAGAGAGAGAAGACTGAATTCATTCCTTTATTAGGATAACTAACTCCCATAACTAACTCCACAATAACAGCATGAAGCCACTATGATCTGATCACCTCTTAAAGGCCCCACCTCCCAATACTGTTACATTGGCAATTACATTTCAACATGAAGGCTGGGCATGGTCTTACACACTTTGGGAGGCCAGGGAGGAGGATGAGGCCAGGAATTTGAGACCAGCCTGGGCAACATAGCAAGACCCTGTCTCTACAGAAAAATTAAAAATTAACTGGTTGTGGTGGTGTGTACCTGTAGTCCCATCTACTCAGGAGGCTGAAATGGAAGGCTCCCCCGAGCCCACAAGTTTGAGGCTGCAGTGCACTATGATAGTGCCACTGCACTCCAAGCTAAGTGACAAAGCAAGACCCTATCTCTGAATAAATTAATATACTTCATCATGAGTTTTGGAGGGAACATTCAAACTATAGCAATATATTTCAATGTGTGTTTTAATCCATTATAGTTATTATCATAATAGATGTTCAATTTATCCTAAATTTAGTTAACAGGCGATCTTTCAAGTTGACTCCTGAGGTCTTTTTTAAAAAGTTTTATTTATTAGAAACATTCATTGTAATTATAAACAAGTTTTGTTAAAGGTTGTTAATTCAATTTTCAAATGAGCTGTAAATGGTTTTCATTAGAGAAACTACTTGATTTGTTGTTTTCAAAGAGAAAATTTTTGCCCACTGGGGTTATGTAACCCATATATTAAAATTGGAATATCATTCTTTTGTTCTTGGCATTTATGCTATGCAGTGTTTGATTTGTTCTCTGATTTATTTGTCTTCACTCTTTATAAACACTGAAACCAAATGCATGACCTCTTAAGACATGCATTCATGTGAATCATTAAAGAATGTTTGTCTTTGTGGCAGTTTATCATTTTAATGATAATTCAGGCTCCTTCTTAAAATGTTTGCTCTTC